AGTTGAATTTGACAATTAGAAAGTCTGAAATCTAAATTACATATTTTTGGAACATAAGATGGACCAATTTCGAATTATTATGAAGCTTTGGAAACTAATATGGAAGATTTTGGAAATTTCAGTACAATTGAAGATTAGAATGAAAAGGGACAAAAATCATAAAAAAATACGTAATATGGGGACCTAATTGCAAATTCAGGGGTTTACCGTGGTCCAGCCCATACCACTTTTTTGCCTAGGTCGGACCCATCTATCCTAGTTGCTGAATTTTGTTATTTTTTGGTTTTCTTGATCGCTTTTGATTCATTTTTAAAGCATAAAAAGAGAGATCTAAGCATAAAAGAAGGCTTCATAATAGAAAATTAGAGGAAGAGAAAAATCAAAGCAAAAATCAAGAAACAAGGATTTATAATTCTTTGCTTAGGAGAAAACGATTCTTTATACAAGATCGTCAACTTTTTCTCATTTATATCCTTCAAACCCAATGAGATACTTTAATTTCTTCTTGGTGCAAGATTGTCAAATGAATAGTTACCATTTTTTTTCCTTCTAGACGGATTTGCCAATGACTATTTTCATTTTCTTCCAAGAAAATTGAATTACATCTTCACAATACCCAATGGTTCTAGTTCTTTGCTTTCACTAAAGAGTTTGCAAATAGAAATGCAAAATATGTTGGAGGTGAATAGTCACTCCTTTTCGTTCCAAAGTCGGTGAAATTTCCCCTTTTCCACATGAATTGGCCAACAATTCTTGCAAATTTTATTTTATGTAATTAATCTGGACTTCTATACTTACTGATTTATTGATAATTATGCAGATATTTACTTAATTAATTTTTTGTAAACTATATTTATTGTAGGAAAAATTCCATTTTGAATACAATCAGCATGAAAAATGATTTTCTGAAGCCTAAACAGAGTTATTCGGAGCAATTGAAAATTAATCAACATGCACATGAATAATTAGAAGAATTAATATAGCATTTGAATGAAATTCATAAAACTTGGGAGTTGAATTTNGAGTGCACATGAATAATTACAAGAATTAATAGAGCATTTAGATGAAATTCATAAATCTTGGGAGTTGAATTTGACAATTAGAAATCTGAAATCTAAATTACATATTTTTGGAACATAAGGTGGACCAATTTTGAATTATTATGAAGTTTTGGGAACTAATATGGAAGATTTTGGAAATTTCAATACAATTGAAGATTAGAATGAAAAGGGACAAAAATCATAAAAATACATAATATCCCCTCCTAATTGAAAATTCAGGGGTTTATTGTGGTCCAGCTCATACCACTTTTTTGCTTAGGTCCATTACTCCAAAAATGAGCATTCGCAACACATAAAAGGCAACATTCAGTAGTTAATTATTGCTAAAAGGGTTTATCGCAATATTTTAATAAATGATTGTTGCTATTGGTTAATATAATTGAGATTTAATAACATTTTATAAATAAGCGTTGCAAAAAGTTCATTTCGCAACGTTTATTGAACGTTGCAAACGTTTCGAAAAGTGCCTTTCGCAACGTTTATTAAATGTTGCGAAAAGTTTAATCTTTTGCAACGTTTATTAAACGTCGCGAAAAGTAAAGCGGGTTAAACGAATTGAATTAGGCCAATTTTTTTAATTGTGGACCGGTTAGCCCGACCCGCCCGAATCCTTAGGTTTATAAACGTTGGATACCCAATTCATTTGTTTTCTACTCAACCTAGCCATCTTCCTTCGTCAATTCTCAGACCTCATTTGTGATTTTACTGAAATTGAAGAAATTGACGTGAATAGCGCAGTGTTTCGAGGAAGAATACAGTGCGGGTTTACAAAAAGAGGAAGGTTGAAACGCCTCAGCCCACTGTCCTGCCCCAAAATGGAGTAGTCGGTGAGGCTGCTGGAACTCCTGAGATAGCGAACGGTGGGGACACGATTACTAGTACTAGTGATGCTTTGGTTGGAAAAAGTGCACATACGAAGGTATGGGCGGAAAATGTGAAACTTGCGAAGGTGGATGCCACAGAGGAGAATGAACTGGCGGAGAAGTATGAAGCTCAAGGGTATCCTACCGTATACTTCTTTGTCGATGGGGAACATAAACCTTATTCTGGTCAACGAACGAAGTGAGTTCCCCGTTTCACCCTCATTTTTTTTTTCTTTACAGACTTTTATGTGTAAATGATGATAAAAAAGAGTGCTCAAATTTGGGTATATTGGCTCTAGGATATTGTAGAGAATAAAGAATTACGAAAGATTCCTTTGTAGTTTTGCAGCGTCAAATTGAGAACTTTGGAGTTGGATCAGAAATTCCGAACTCAAGGTTTGAATACGCACATAGAATTGGGGTAAAGATTTCAGCTTTAAAATCTTCTTATTAAAATGAACGAAGGGATTCAGATTTTGCTTTGTCTTCCTGCATTGAGGTTAATACTTATTTGAGGGCTAAATCGAGTTTTCTCTGCTGATATGCTGATCAGATTATAAAACCTGTATTGGTTAGTTAAAAAAAAACTTGTCTCATATGATTGTGGAATATAATAAGTCATTATGGCTTAACTCGAGTTTGCCTATTAGGGGTCTTGAGCACAATAAATTGCTTAAGCAGGATTTTGAGGGCAAACACTACCTGTTAGAAAAAGGAGTAGGTTAGTAATGAAATCATGACTTGCTTGTTGTAAATAATGATGGGGATTTAAATAAAACCAAATTTTCTTGCTTGGCATTTGCTTTTCTGATGGAAATTCACCTGTAATATTCAGGAGAAGTGCAATGTGAGCAACCAAATAACTCGCTGTACACCTTTGCTGGCAACTTGATAATTCAAAAGCAAACCTTGCCTATGAGTCCAAATCAACTTCTATTACGGGTATGTCATCTCATATCGCCACAACTTCCACTTTTCTGCATAATGCGGTTGCAAGTTGGATTTGTTTTCAAAGGAACTCATGTCAGTCCAACTTTTTGTAATTGATGATGTATTTTTTGTTTCTTGACTATCTGCTAATGTGCTTGTGATGCTCACTTTTGTTACCTTATAACTTTCTAATAAGAATTCATTTATCATAATTAACATATATTTTCTGTCAATAAATGCTCAATCTGGCAACCATTTGTATATAATCTCATCTTTTTTTTCATCATCTTAAGTAATAGACTGTCTTCTTGCTGAATGTGCTGGATAAATATACACCTGGGACATTTAATTGTTATATGAATGATATAAACTAAGAAGTCAGGAGGCAGGAACAACTTTTGGTTTGAGACCAATTACTGTAGTGCCAAGACATATTTCTGCAAGCAGTAAATAGGCTTCAAAAGGTTGAGAAGAAAAATCCAATTTGGTGTATTAGGCTTTATTAATGTGAGAATTGAGATTTATCCTCTAGGTGTATTCTAAAAAACTTTTAAAAACTTTTTGGGATTTAAAAAGTTTAGGGACATTCAATATAAACTTTTATAGACTTTCTAAAAGTATTGGTGTATTCAATCGAGACTTTTATAAACTTTTAAAAAGTCACAGTGTATTCAATTAATTTTTTTTAATAGTTTCTATAAATCATGGGGTATTAAAATTTTAATGACTTTTAAAGACTTTTATAAAATTCTCCAGGTTACTAATATAAACTAACAATTATTATAACACAGATAACCCTGATTCTAGTAGTTAGAGTAATACTTTCAAAAAATCTACTTTTAAGTATACGTACAAGTTTTAAATAAATAATTATTTTATTGATTGAAGTTTAAAATATGTAATCCTTTGTCATTAAAATAAGCATTACTTTCCACAAATATAAGAAAAATTTAAGTTAACAAACATGTTTGGAGGTAATAAGAAAATTAAGTTACTTCACACCATTCATCAACACAGCATGAAATTGGTCTATGCAGAGAACAAATGACAATGTTTTAAAAAGCTTCACAAATGCACTATCTCAAAATAATAGTAAAAATATTATTATTATTATTTTTCTATTTTAAATTTTTTGTTTTTAATTAATTAAATCAACAAGCCAATAATTTTGAAGTAATGCACCACGGAAAATGAACTTTGACTTAAGAGTACTTAAACAAGCACAATAGTCCAAGAAAATAATATTATGGCTTCTCTGGTAACAGTGTTAAAGAAGGAAAAAGATTAAAATATCTTATTTGTAGTATTGTCGAATTTTGTCTACGACCAAACATGCCTTAATCTTACTTGGGTTGATTGGCACAATGAATATTTCAACACTATTCACATATTCAGTCAGTAATGCTAAACTTATTAGGAAGGAACAAAATGACAAATGTTTCGATGTAATAGGAGAGCAATTAGCATACTTTTCAAGTTAGAGCAGAGGGACAAGAATGTACTATTTTGAGAAAGAGTTGAACAGCCACAATAAAAAGTATATTAAACTTAGTGTCGCAGTAATTTTTTCTTTGAAAAGTTTTATCGAAATCTCAAATGCTTGAGAAGAAAACCAACTAACAGATGACAAAATATGCAATCAAATGAATTATCACTAAGATCAAGGGCCTCCAAATTTCTCAACTTTGACAATCTGCTGAAAATCTTGCAATGAAGTGAGAACACAATTGCGTCTGCAAGTGATGGCATTGGAGCAATTGATAGGGATGGAACAATTGGAAGTGTTGAAGCAACATGTCAATGATTTTCCATCTTTGGAGGAGGACTCTAACGATGATGAATGCCTTTTGTTCTTTTTAATTCCAAGTAAGAATTGGATGTTGACAATGAGAGCTCGCCACTTTTTTTATGATGCTATTGTAATTGACGAGTTTCAGATATAGATGGTGAAACCGTGAAAGTTACGATAGCCCTCCAATTGGTCCGAAAAATCCAACCTTAACCATGAATTTGTTGAAGTTATCATGGCTAGTTCTCAAAATTTGTTTGGTGGAGTAGGCTACTTCTACAAACAATCAAAATTTTCACCTCCATCGTGCACTAATCTTGAATTTTACACATAATGTTGACTATTTTGCAGAAAATGGTTTTATAATTAAAGTGCTTTTTCTTAATTTTATACTTCAAAGATTACAAATTCGGACTACTTGTGATCTTGACATGTCGAGGACATGTTAGCAATTTCATTTCTGTAAATTTTGTTGCTCTTCAACGAATTCTAGATATGTCATCAATTTTTTTCTTTTTAGATCATGAAAAAGCTCTTTCCATTTCCAACGGTATTATATATAGCTAAATTTAAATGTTTACTTTTCAATATTTCAATATTTCTATTCTTTATAACAATTCTCTTTACGTTACATTCAATCAGTCAATTGAAATTTATATAGTGAGAAGCAACAACTTACGAAATCTTATCTAAGCACTAATAGTGCTACATAATATCATTTCTTAAATAATAATCTATTAATGATAAAAATAGATACACGAACTCTAGTCTTATCATTCAAGAGTTTAACTTCTCTTTCCATGAAGACAACTTTTCCTACCTTATGTCTACATACTTTCAAGATACAATTACTTTTCATAATTGTAGAACTCCCCCGATGACAAGAACAACAAACTGAATAATAGGTTGCACACTCTCTCTTTGACAAAATGTGACTCAAAAATAATGCAAAAATTCTATATATGGGAATATTCTATTTAAGACAAAAACATAAATAAGTAAAAGAATCTCTAATATAAATCTTCCTATTAACCTAGTGTTTGATACTCAACTGCTATGTTAAAAATCAAATGCCATGTTCCTCCTTACCGTTTTTGTAAAAATAAAAATAAAATAAAAAAATCAAAAATTGAAAAGAAGAAGAAGCAGCATTTAGCTTGGAAACAAATAACATTCCAATTTAATAATACAAGTACAGATAATTGAAAACCATTTCCTACTTTTATGATTGAATATGCATACACATGGCCAAATTGGCTTCCTACCATGTTGTTATATTTGGCTTCACTGCTTCGT